CCCCAAAACCCCAAAACCCCAAAACCCCAAAACCCCAAAACCCCATGCCATGAAAATTTGGTTGAAATTAACCTATTATATGAAGCTAAAGTTGAGACTTTTCGGTCTGATTTTAAACTTTACCTATCGATTTGGCATGATAGCACACCCATGAAGTTTGAGAAGACCTTAGACAGTCAAGATCTCACTGAAAGCAAGCTTCATAGCCTCTTAAATACCTCAGAGACTATAAAGATCGCTTATGTGGGAGAGCAAAGCCCAGAGAATTATGAGTTGCTAATTTTAGGTAATTTCGAGTATTAGCACGTGTAAATATACCATTCACGAAACTCCTAGTTATGATTTATAATAACTTATTATTTACCAGAATAATGATCAGAAGTTTAGGATGAATGACTTTCAAATTGCTTTAGTATTATCAGATCAATTTAGCCTATCTAAATGGCTTTATAAGACCAAGTCTGTGTTCACATCATGCCTTAGTCTTCTTCTGAGTCCAGTCTCTTCTCATCAGTAGGCAAAAGTTCTTTCTGACAGACAAAGATATCATTTTGTAGAAATTTGGATAATTTCTGAAATGAGAATTCTCAGAAATCAAGTAGGAATTTATAGCAGAAAGTACCTTTCTGATACATTCGGATTAGTCTGCTATAGCTCTTAAGGCCTCTGAGTATCACTGTGCATGCCTGATTATCAAAATTCTCAAAGATAGAGTCTCTTGGTGGATAAGAAGTAACAGATGTCGCTTCGGATAATGATCACACCAATAGATCTGTCCTGTATAGATTATAATAATTATAGTCTATTCGACACATTTGTCACGTGCTAATAGGACTACAATTGTTATCTACATTTTGATTCCTTAATGCTTACTCTGGATGTAATTTTCCTGAAATAATTCTGAGCTAGCTATCAACACAAGATAGCGATAGGTGATAATGTATCAATATGCTGATATCTTGTAGCCAGAGGTCTTCCAGCTTGTCTCAAACTTGCCTTGAAATTTCTGTGCTGGGTCTCCCTAAATTTTTGGGTAAGTTTAAAATTAGACAGCTCTGAAAGTCACCTTCTAAAAATTTGACCGTAAGATCGAACAATCTGAATGGTGACGATCAGTAATAAAAACATAATGCAGAGGACTCATTTAGGCAGCATCTCTCCTTAGGAATCCCTTCAATGGTTAAAATTAGTTGAGAAATAACTTCCATATTAAAGCTGAAAATAATTGGATGTATTGGTAAGTTTAAGCACTTCTGTTGCGCAACAACACATGTTTTATCTAAATTTATAGTATTTTGCTCTACGAAAACTCATTTCAGCTAATAAATTCATAAGGAAGCTCTCCTAAAGTGAGGCCCGACATTTAGCTCCCCAACTTTGGGTTACCGAAAGCAAGGATGAATTTTGAGCCAACCAAAATTCTTGAATTTTGATGGTCAAAATAAGCATATAAAGAAAATTTGATGGTCGGTTTTATTATAATTAACAAAGTAAGTTTCTTGATCTTCCAAATTATCAGATTTATCTACCTGTTGGATTACCTCTTGAGCCTTGTTCTAAACATGCTTATATAGCACTACAGTTCAAAGATGCACGTACAGCAAAAGAGAAAGAGAGATCTGAGTAAGTGTTGCCTTCCTAAGTATCCATAGAAAGCCAAAATAAGGAAGAGATCCTTCTGATGAGAAAAGAGAGAAATAGAGAAAAAGCACAGATTTTCAGGCAAAGAAAGAAGGAATACATCAATTCTCTTGAACAGAAGATCAAGCAACTTGAAGGGAAAGTCTATGAGCTTACTGTCAAGCTTGAGAAATACGAAGGTGAAAGGAATCTCCCATGAACTTATGAAGCAGATCTTTTTGCAGAGCTTGAGTCAAGCCATTTCTGTGATTCTCCTACCTTCTCAAAAGTTGAGGATCAGCTTGATATTGACTCTATGTGAGGAAAACAGGAAAAGCTCATGCTGCTCTTTAATAGACTCCAAGTTAATGAGCATAGTGATTCCTTTAAGTACTTCGGTAAAATGGGTAACTATATGAAGAGCGAGATCATCCATCATAACAACTTAAATATTCTTGAAAAATTCCTTTTGGAGTGCAATATGACTCCTGAGCAAGTTAAAAATGATTTTCAGAATATTAATATTACCCAGCTGAACAAAGCAATGAAGAGGTAAGACCTTGTGGACCCTTATCGATACTTGTCGGCTTACTTAATAATCTCAGCTCTAACCTTATAATAGTGTTGCAGAGACAATCATTGACACTAAGAGAAACTTTGAGTGCTTGAAAAACTTATCAAAGAAGGCAATCGACAGAATTCTGAAGAACTTCAATAGCTCTCAGATCCACAAATTCACAATACTTTCTGAAGAGGTAGGTATCCTTGGCTCTAAGCCTATCGTTATGCTAACAGTGATTAATATGCGGTATAGTTGGCTTCCAGAGAAAATTTGACCGCAGCAAAAATATGGGATCTTGTCGAAGAGACTCCTCAAGAGTCTGTGCAGCAACATGTTCCATTCTATTAAATAATTCTTAGTCATAAAATTTAGGTTCAATCTATTCGGTCGAGTGAGGGGTTTTGGGGTTTTGGGGTTTTGGGGTTTTGGGGTTTTGGGG